GCGCCCCCTCCCTCTCCCCGCCGCCTGTTCCTCGACAACTCGGCCCATGTTCCCCACCGCCGTCGCCGGGACAAAAAAGCCCGTCGGAAGCCCCCCTCCCGCGCCCCGGCGGAGCTGAGACCCTTCCCCGTCCTGCGGATTGTGGGTGTTGCCCTCCGGGTGAAAGGCGTTGCTCTTTTCGCCTTGCTCCAGGGGCACCAAGAAACAAACCCGTGCCTGACGCGGTTCTCACGTTCGCCCCCACGTGTTCTGTTTCAGCCAAGTTTTTCTGGGCAGTTGGCAAAACTTTTCCTCTTCTTCTTCTTCTCTCCCGCATGGACGTTCCTGATGCCTTCGTTTGGGATCTATTGTGGCGCACCCGCAGCAGCCCCAAAGGGGCCCTTCGGAGGCCACCCAAACGCTCCTTTCTTTCTGGGGAAGAAAAGTTTGTTTTTAAAGAGGGACTCGGATTTGGAACTCGGGACTTTGTACCAAGACTCCGGCCCAAACCCTCGCCAGCGTCCCCGGTCGCTCATGAGAAGAAAACGGAAACTTGGAAGGGCGGCTAAGAAGGAACTAGGACAGGAGCCAGCCAATAATAATAATAATAATAAAATAAGCTCAGTGGAGGGGATCGATTCAGTCTAAATGTAGTGTTGGAGGTGAGCTTTATGAGTACTGTGGGCCACCCGAAGTTCAAAGGAGCAGGTTCCAGGTCAAATCAGACCAGAATTCGCACTCGGCACTGGAGGGACTAAATTGAGGCTTTTGCACTTTGGAAATATGAGCCGAGAAAAATTTATTGGGAAAGGCGATATTGCTAATCGTCGCGGAAAGCAGCAGGAAAAGAGGAAGCTCTAACGTAAGATAGACGGACCCACTGAAAGAAACCACAGACTTTGGTTTGCGAGACCTCTACAGGGCTGGTTAAGCGCAGGGTGTTTCAGAGGTCGTACACAGAAGTCACAAGCAACTTGATGGAGCACACCTGTCCTGCTCTCTCACCAGCATCCCTCCCTCTTCTGAAGGCCAGATCCCAGGGAGAAAAGGGTCTCCTTCCCTGACCTACCTCGGCCCAGGCAGTTTCTGGATACTGTACAGGTTAAACTTTGCTTTCGGTTCAACGTTCATGTTTCATTTTGGTTACTTTCAACATGAGTACTTTACCCCCAAGCATAAAAAAAAAATATCTAGTTGATTTACAGTAAACAAACATAAAACCCAGTTTAAAGTCAAGCTGGAGTATCAAGCCACAACAAAACCAAAAGAGACAATATTCTGGCAACAAAGCATGCAACATTGTAAAATGAAACACGGAGATTTTAATCCTGAGAGGGACAGCCTGTAGGAGCTCCTTAAAAGACGTGGGTGAGCAGAAGAGTCAGTAAATAGAGCAGTGGATTTAAGCTTGGCCCTCACTCCTTATAGGCTTGGCCCTCACTCCTTATAGGCTTGGCCCTCACTCCCTGTAGGCTTGGCCCTCACTCGTTATAGGCTTGGCCCTCACTCCCTGTAGGCTTGGCCCTCACTCCTTATAGGCTTGGCCCTCACTCCTTATAGGCTTGTGCATGCACACACACTCAGTCGCCCTTCCTTACAGCACGATCTGGAATTTACATCCACAGATATCGACAATCATCTCCAAATTCTAGGCTAAAGACCGTTCTGATGTTTGCCCAGGCTTGTTCTTCCAGGTGACACAGCACAGAGCTTTTTAAAAATGGCTATACAGGATACAAGTTGCAGCGAGGAGATAACCAAAGACAACTGTATGAAATTTTTCTGTGGGTGGGGGCAGGTGGCAGTGTTGGGGTCGAGAGACACATGACTTTTTTGGGGGAGAAGCAGATTTACATATAGGAGAGAAATGGCTTGGATAAAATATGGAAGGGGGAGAATTCATTTCCTTCTCTGAAACATCACCAGTTTGATTCCAGTTTATTCCATCAACTTCCCTAAAAGCATATTTTAAAAATCATGAGACTAAGAGAAGCACAGAGAAGCTTTTATTCTTTGACAATAAATGCTTAGATTAAAAAAAAAACCCTGCAGTGGAGTGAAATATTTTCATAACACAAAATATCTTGAAACAAAGCTGGTGTGTGTGTGTGTGTGGCTGAGCCGTAGTTTAAAAAAAGCTCTCTGAGCAGACATTTTGGGTTAAAATAGCCCGGAGTTCAGGCATTTAAAAATAAATGATCGCGAAGTCTGTCTTAATGGAAAGTTTGGCAAAACTCCACATGATTAGATGTTCTTTTAAACTTTTCCCTGCCCGGACACATTTAAACATGTCTTGCGTTGGGAGTTAGTGGTGGTGGTGGTGGTCGGGGGGGGGGGGGCATCTGAAAATAAAAAAAAATGGGTAAAAAAAACCTCCATGGGATTTTTCTGCCCCCTCCTTCAAGCTAGGAAATATTATGTTCACTAAGGAAAAACTGGATGCAAATATAAACAGGTAACACACATCTGTAAATTATTTTCATGTCCCCAGGGCCAGGGGGAAAAAAAAACACCCTCCTAAGTGAAACCAGCATGCTTATATATTTCGCTCTGACAGCTCCGGGAGCAAAAAATATTTTTTTGCCAAAATGTGCAGGCGGAGGGAGAGTCCGTAGCGTGGGAAAGTTGGTTTAGTGAGAAATTTGCCCTGGGCTATTTAAATAAAACCAGGCACTTTTTTCCCTCCCCCTGGCAAATGTGTATTTGAGGGCCCTGTAGCAACGGTTCCTCCATCCCCCCCCCAAAAAAACAGGGTGGATCTCATCTTTTATCATAGGTTTGGGGGGTGTGTGTGTGGGGGGGAAGAGCCCCCAAAGATCCCCATCAAACTTGATTTTTCTTGCTTTTCCTAGCTGGGCTGATGTTTTGCTTTCCTTTCCCTGCTGCAGGATGACTGAAGTCTTTGGATCCAGGGGGTGGGGGGCTTTAGGGGGACCCACAAACGTTCCTCACCTCAGCTGTTGCCAAAGGAGAGCTTGAGAGGCAGGTGGGGGATTGGAACCAACGTGGCATCTAGGCCTGGCCATCGCTGCCCGGGCGAAAGATTGTCTTGCCTGCCGAGCAGTCAGCCGTGGGGATCTCGGGGTCCAAGTTTGGAAGAGGTCGTGGCTGCTGGCATTGTGGGCCAGAATCAGACCCAGTGCCCTCCAGAGCCTTTAGGCGACACCATTCAATCGGAGAGTTTTCGAGGCTCAGGACCACCTCGTCAGGCGTGTACTACGGTGGGGAACCTAAAAGCCCAAAAGGTCTTGGCAAAATGGATTTCGCCAGGCGTGCCTTTTTCAAACGGAATTCAGATGGAAAGAGGCAGGCTGCCTCAACGTGGTTGTTTTAATGTTATGGTCAAGGTAGTTCTGGATGGGACATTATACCCCAGTCCTTCAGACAAAGAGGCAGAGGCCATGCGAGCGCGCATTCCTCCCCGTGGGGCCGTACATGTCTCCACTTGGCCAGGGAAGGACTTGAGCGTGATAAGGATGCTAAGCATTCTCCGCCGGACAACCTGAGCAGAAGGTCTGCGGTCTACGAGAGGGACAGCAGAGGTTTTAAGGCCACCTGCGGTTCCGGTCCGAACCGTGGGCCTGTGGTCTTGGGTGACCTCTCCTCTCAAGGGAAGCTTTGAAGACTTGGTAGATCTACGCTGGAGGTGTCAAGCGCGATGCAGGCGAGGGAGCCGTGTGAATGAGCGCGGCCCCTGAAACAAGAGAGATTCTGTTATTCTTTGGTGGCACCTTCAAGAAAAACAAAATGTTATTGTGAGCTTTCATGGACCCGTACCACTGGATCAGATGCACGAAGTGCTATCCTCAGCAAAGCTGGCAAAAAGTTATTTTTGGTCTAGAATTCCCTGCCCCCCCTCCCGATGGCTGGTGGCTGGGGGAGCCGGCAGCTGTAGTTGAAGCAACAGCGTTTCCACTTTCTGGTCTTCAGTGGGGAGATTATTCTATGCACGGGAGCAGAAGAACATGTAGACGTCTCTTCTATTGGGACCGAGGCAGCCGAAAGTGCTGACCCCAGGCCCGCTCCCTGCGGATACCAAAAAACGTGGATGTATGGAACGCCATCCATCATGGCATGGTCTATGGCTCCCTCTAGTGGTCAGTTCTAGTAAACATACCCTAGAAATGCATGTTAAAAAGGAATTTCTGTGTTTTTCTTTAATTTAATATTTTCATCCAGCAGATGAGTGATACTGTGCCTGTGGATAGAAGGGTCCTCCTGTAATTATGTGCCCACAGGCAGCTGGAATGGTTTCCAAGAGGTGGATGCTGGGAAGCAGCAGTAAGATCTTGGAGGAGAGAGCATCCAAGGGCAGGAGACAAGGCCAGGCTGAAGAAACCCTCGGCAAAACGGCTCCGGCTCGCCCTGAGTGTGGGTCTCGCTCACGGCCAATAGAGGAGTAGGTGCCCGTCTGCATGTCCAAGGGCTGGCCTTCCCCAACAGGCGGGAAGCGGTAATGGTGGACTCCTCCAACGATGAGCCGTGGGTCACCTTTTCAACTACGAAAGGGCCCTACGGTT